TTAGTAACAGGTTTAATGACACTGTATGCTTAGATTTAAAGGAATATCAACAAAACCAATGCTGGATTCTACACCTAATTGATACATCCACTAGATACTCTGCTGCCAGATTAATTAAGACCAAGAAAAGCGAAGAAATTATTCGCAACATATTTTTAATGTGGATATCTTATTTTGGAGCTCCCAAACAGTTTTTAAGTGATAATAGAGGAGAGTTTAATAATGAGGGCTACCGACAGATGAACGAAAAATTGAATATTGAAACATGCACGACAGCTGCAGAAAGTCCATTTAGCAATGTTACTGTGGAATGTCATAATCTAATAATTGCTGAAGCAATGGAAAAAACATTAGATGATGAAAAATGTGAGCCAGAAATAGCTTTGGCTTGGGCTATTAGTGCCAAAAATGCACTTCAAAATCATTCTGGATATAGTCCAAATGAGCTTGTATTTGGGTCAAATATTAACACCTCATCAGTTTTGAATGATCGGTTACCTGCATTGGAAACTGCAACAACCAGTGATATGGTTAGAATAAATCTAAATGCCCTACATGCAGCGAGGAAAAGCTTCATGGAAGCCGAATCAAGTGAAAGAATTCAGAGAGCCTTGAGAAATAATGTAAGGACTTATGTGGATGAAGAATTTGTGACAGGTGATCGTGTCTACTATAGAAGACAAAACTACAACGGATGACATGGTCCTGCTAAAGTTCTGGGGAAAGAAGGTCAATGTGTATTGATCAGACACAGAGGAGCATTTTTCAGGATGCATCCATGTCACTTGATGAACGTAGACAAGGAATTGCGAAGTCCAAGGAATGAAGAAAATACAAATTCTTCAAATAAGATGAATGAAGTGTTGGAGGAGGAAGATGAAGGACAATATAATAACAATTCTAATAGCAATAGAAAGGAAGTGAAAGATAACAGTATAAAACCAAGTAGAAACAAAATTGTAGAATATAAATTGAGAGGGAGTGATGAGTGGAAGAAAGGAATGGTTATGAGCACACAACCAAAGTCAACAGGAAAATATAGCCATTGGCTAAATATAAAACCAGAAGCAGAGAATGAAGATCCTCTTTGTGTTAATTGGGATCATGTTAATCAATGGAGAAAACTTTCTCATGTAACAGAGGGAATAAGTAATCAGGAACATGCAGTTTTGCTTACTTCTGAACAAGAACAAGATGTGATTGATGCAAAGAAAAAGCAATTGGAAAATATGAAATTTCATGAAGTATATGAATGTGTGCCTGACATGGGGCAAAAATGTATATCAACAAGATGGGTGATAACAGAAAAATTTATGAATGACAAAAATATAATGAAGGCTCGTCTTCTTGCACATGGTTATGAAGAAGATTCTCATAACTTAAAAACAGATTCTCCAACATGCAGTCGTGAGGCCATGCGTCTCGTATTGTTAACGGCCTCGGTTATGATGTGACAGGTGGAGACTCTTGATTTTACCTCAGCATTTCTGCAAGGTAATATGTTGGAAAGAGAAGTATTCCTTAGACCACCATCTGATGTGTGTCCAGAATCACAGGTGTGGAAGCTGAAAAGATGCATTTATGGTTTAAATAATGCACCTCGTTCATGGTACAAGCAAATTAATCATGAGTTAACTTGTTTGAAGGGAATGGTGAGTGCATATGACAATGCACTGTTTCTTTGGCACAATGCCACTAGTGACTTGATAGGCATTCTGGCAATACATGTAGATGATTTCATAGTCTGTGGAAATGATCTATTTCAGAAAAATGTGATCAGAGAATTGAAAAAGATATTTAAAATTGGAAAGCATGAAAGTGGAACATTTAAATTTTGGGGATTGAATGTTAAGCAAACTAAAAATGGGATTATAATAGATCAAAATCTATATGCTTCAGCTATATCCCCAATAGACATAAAAAAAGGAAGATCATTAAGGAAAAATGATGAATTGAGTCAAGATGAGAAGACGGAGCTAAATAGATTGACAGGCCAAATGATGTGGGTATCCACCCAGACTTGACCAGATGTATTGTTTGATGTGTGTAGAATGAGTAATATTGGAAAATCTCCAAAGGTGAAGTTGCTCTTCGAGGCAAACAAGTCACTAATAAAGTTAAAATCAAGGACAGGTTCCATATCTTGGGAAACCTTCGGATCTGAATATTGTTTGTTATTCAGATGCCAACTATGCTAGTTTGGAGGATGGATCTTCACAAGGTGGTTTTATCATCTTTGTTTGTGGAAAGAATGACTCCTATATGCTGGTCATCAAAAAAACTTGACCGTGTAACAAAAACTCCATTAGCCTCCAAAACTCTTGCACTTGGTGAAGCAGCTGATGCTGGTATATTGATAGCCGCCATGCTTCAGGAGATATTCAGACTGCCTGAAGTTCTTTGTAAAACAGACAATGCATCTCTGGTAGAGATCAAATCTTGTAAGTGACCGGCGTCTGAGAGTTGATGTGGCCAGATTGAAAGAAATGATGGTGAAGAAGGAAATTCAAACTGAATGGATCAGGGGCCGAGAACAGGTAGCAGATTGTCTGATGAAGATGGGAGCCTTTTCTGAAATTCTGAGAGACTTGTTGCAATGAAGATTTGTTTTGCTTTTTTTTTTTTTTTTTAGGAACTGAGTTAAGACTGTTGAGTTGTCTCCTCTTGTCTATAGATAAAAGGAAGTCTGTTTGGAGTGATCTCCTCTTTGTTTGTTGTTGTTGTTGTAGTTTCCTTTGACAAGATGGCAGTTTAGCTGAGACTGGGTGTCTGTGGAAGGAGTAAATCATCAGTAACAATTGTATGGAGCATGGAAGGGCACAAACTTTTTGATAGGAAAAAAATTGTTATTAAAATTGGACCACAAAACATTGGAATTCAAATTTAACTCAAGAAAAGAATTGCCAAAAGTAACATCATCAGGGATTTTAAGATGGGCAATAAAATCATTACATTTAATTTTGACATAGTATATGTAAAAGGGGACACGATCCTCATGTTGATGCTTTATCAAGATTACAGTTCAAGAATGAAACAGAAGAAAAAACAGAAAAATGCTGAAGATAAAATAATACACTGGGTAGAAATGGACAATCTTCCACTAAGTATGCTCAAAATAGAAACAAATCAAGACCCAATATTAAGCAGAACAGCAGAGAGAATAAAAAATAATGTATGGAGCAATTGTTCGATAACAGAGCGACCCTTTAAAGAAACGAATCACAAACTAACCATAGAAAACGGCATAATATGCAACGGGGATATAATTGTAGCTCCACAAATACTGACAAGGGACATATTAAAAGGAGTACATGATGACATGACAGCAATGACACCTTTTATCTTTGCTTTTCCTTTTTTCTTGTTAAGCGAAGGTAGCAGCAAGGAGAAGACATATCTTCATATTCTTTCTCGTCTAGGTGATGAGAAAATACAGAACTAACTACAAAGTCATGAACTTGTTCTAATCAAGGAAACAAACCACCATTCACAATAATGTCCAAATATTACTGAAAACTAAAAAACATTTTTAAAGGACAATTTTAGCTTGTAAAAAAGCCAGATTTCTGGGATTTGGCATTTTGATTTTTATGAATTGAAAAAGGGATGTGTAGGCAGCCCAATTCAGAAAAACTCCAAGACTTTTCAAGGAGCTTTTGGGTTGTTGCTGTTTTTCCAGGATTTTTCAAGGTATCCAGGGCCTCTACAAACATTGCATCCATACTGTTTTAACTGAGATCTTGGGGATGAGCAAGCAGTCTGCAAGATGGGTCCCAAGAATGTTGACACTAGAGCAAAAACTGAAAAGTGTAGACATTTCCAGGACACTTCCGACTTGCTTCCAGGCTGACCCTGAGAATTTTCATTGCAGATTAGTAACTCAAGATGAAACCTGGGTTCACAACATTCAAACCTGAATCAAAGATTCAAAGCAAATAGTGAGACCACTCTGGTTCTCCACCCCTGAAGAAGTTCAAGCAGGCATCATCTGTTGGCAAGGTGATGGCTTCTGTATTTTTAGATTCTGAATATATAATCATGATTGAATACTTGGAAAAGGGAAAAACTATTAATGGACAGCTCTATGCATCATAATTGTACTGTGGCTTTGAATTGCTACCCCATTCCCCCTTACTTACCAAACTTAGCTTCATTTGACTTCTACCTGCTTCCTAAACTCAAATCCCATCTGTGTTGCAGATATTGTGGAAACAATGTGTGCCATGAGTGTGTTTTGGTGACCAGGATACCACTTTATTTCATGATGGGATTGCAATGCTTAAGCATCATTGTCCAAGTACAGTGATGTCAAGAGGGAATATACTGGAAAAATTTTCTTGTTTCTCCAAATCCTTCTGAGATTGATTTAGAACTTTTTGAATAACCCTCAAACACACCACACAGTACAAAAAAAAGACAACAGGAAAAGAAACATGGAAATTGTGTTGTAGCAACAGACTGTTGCTGCTTGGTGTTGACCTCAGTGTCCAATTTATATATATATATATATATATATATATTGTCCATCAATTTTTGTCATTATTTTCTCCCGAAGTTAAAGCAACTATACGAAGTTTAGAATGGCTCATGATCAAACATAATAGACATTCATTGTCTTTTATATAACAATACATGTTGAATAATGATCTGCTGCCCCAATACACTATATACACACACACACACACACTACTTTGCATATGTGTATATAAGCTATTCTTTTGGAAAGATCTTAAAATCAATTTTCATTAATCTATATAAACAAAAGCTTTTGCTTCAAAGATTGTGAACAAAGCAAAAAAAAATTTGATCTCTCAAGCCAGATGTGCATCTTTTTATTATATTTCAAAACAAAGACAAAAAAGCAAATATTCAATAAGAAACAATATAAAAAATAACTGTCTATTCTACTTTTAAGTAATTTTTAAAAAACTTTTAACCAATAAAACTGTCATGATTTATGAAAACAAAAAAAAAAATCAAAATCAATGAAATTTCATTACCTTACATAAGGCACATCGTGACTCAGTTGTATGACCCAAATGTGAGTCTAGTTTTTCTGCAGTTCTGAAATTAAAATTATATATATAAGTGCGCAGGTATGCAGAAAATAGAAAAAAAAACACGTTGGGTGTATAATCCGGAGCTCCTTAGTATTTTTGTTTTTATTTTTAAGAAGACAGTGCTTCATACAGAAGTAGAGCTTTATTATAATAATATGTTTTTTGTTTAAAAATATGATTCCTTTGCTACATAAGAGTTCTCATGTTTCAAAAAACGAGAGCCGAAACCATCCAAATAATTATTAAAATTAAGTTGAATTGAGGTGTTTAGTCCAGTTTCATCTTCAAGCGAAATTTTAGGAATAAGCTATCTTTCGGTTTACGTGTGTTTTTAGGCATGGCCCGTTACAAAATTCGTTATTGTGGGAGTGGCTAGACTATTTTTCTTCGTTAAGTGGTCAGAGTTAATTCTTATCAATAGATTCATCATCTTCTGAGAGGTTTTGCTAAGGTTGGGTAGGGTATCTATTTCAATGCAGTCACCCTTTAGTTGGTTCCCAGTGAGGGATATTTTTATGGCGCGCCTACAAGTCGTTATGTGTCAGGAGGATTGTGTTTTATTATTGTCCATCTGATTATCTATTTATTTATTTGTTTATTCAAGTGGGTGTTTTATATACAAATCGTATTGCACTGAATTTCAATTTGTTTTTTTGTTTTTTGACGACTACAGAAAGGGTTTTTCCTATTTAATGATTTGGCTAAGTTTTTAAGACTTTTATTTAGCTATGGGATTTTTTTTATGCTAATTATTTAATGCGAAAGTTTGTTGATGTCGGCAAAAAACCATTAACTCCTGCCTGTGGTTTAATAATTTTTCATTATTTAGAAATTTAATGATGTGTAGTTTTTCGTGTAGGCATAAAGGGCATGGGTCATCCCAGGTTTTACAAGTTCTTGTTTTATTTACTATTTTCCATTTTACTTTTGGTGTTTTATTCGTTTCTTTTAGATGCCAGAAATATTGGGATAGAGATGTCTGATTTCTATTTTGAATATTGTTGAAGGAGCTCTTGTGTTGCCTCCATCTAATTTTAAAATTATTCTTCATTGAGCCTATGTATATCCTATCAGTGTTAGGACTCTCAATGGATGAGATCTCAAAAAATGTTACTTTTATTTAGATGAGAAACACAAAGGAAAGCAGCAAATCTGTCTAAGGCTTTACTTAACAACTTGATCAGAAATTCTTGTCAGCTGATTGTATTATAGTCATGAGGAAGATTGAAGAGAGTATAAATTGAAACAGCATTAAGAACAACAAAGAAGAAAATATAAGTCCAATAACTCTTGAACTCATGACAATATCCCAGAATTTCAAAACTTGCTCGAGCTATCTGCACATTCTAAACTCGGTGGACACTCCTCTCTTTATGTGCTTTTTAAATCTATCAGATCCAAGGGACATGAATCAAAATTATGATACACTGTTGGCTTCTTACCTAGTAATATTGCACACAGTAGATGGATATTCTGTTTGCAAACCAGTCACAAATTTCTCAGTCAACCTCTCAATACTTGTTCTAGATGTTGTCTACACAAACAGAAGAAAACAAAAAATACAGACATTTAACAAAATAAAACAAAATTAATAATGCAATTTAATTACAGAAACTAATTTATTATTACTGATTTATCAATAATGAAATCATTTCTAATACCTGAATAGATGGCCTGGCTATTCAGAAATCATTCTGTATAGTATTCTGCTTGTATGACCAATTATACTTTTAAGCTTAGACCATAGTATCTGTCATTTCTGAACTGGAACCACTTACGTATTCTGAGAAACCTAAATATTAAATCAGGAAAAGGGAATGGAGGAGGAAATGTAGAAGGCAAGAAAGATAAAAAAAAAACAAAAGAAAAACAGGTGATTGATGTGATTTTGTTTTTATGGCTTATCAACATTTTTAGGTTATTTAAAATAAAGATTGTATGAATAATTATTTTTTTTGCAAGTGAATATTGTGTTAATCTTAATTGTGATAACAATTTTTCCAGGTATGTCCTACTATTTTAAAAGATTTTCACAATGTTTTTAAGCTGTGTATTCAGTTTCTAGTTTGAAAAAAAAAGAAAAGAAAAAACAGAAATAGTATTAGAAGCTTTTGTACACATATGAGAGAGAGAAAAACCAAGACAAATTTTCAAACTGGATGTCAAGAGATGATAAACATGTTGAAAATAACAATGATGTGGTTCAGATAGAATTGTAAACATTTTTTTCATAAAATTGTGACATTTTGGTGATTGTTGCATGAAAGATCTCAGTTAGGATAGTGAGAACCAAGGCTTAATTTTCAACTTTCTGCCATATTTTTTTTGTGATTCATTACATAAATAAATAAGGATTTTTTAAGGTGTATTGGTTAAGCTACTTTGAGTCTACTTAAAATTGAACATTTTATTTTTTAATAAAATCACTAGTTGGGGTGCTTTGTCATGATGTTATTGTTCTTCTGCCATTTACCACTTTTTTGACATATTGATGGATGTATTCTGGTGTTTTACATAAATATAAAGAGCTAAAGAAAAATTATTGCACATCATGGGCATCTACCTGCTAGGATAAACAAATGATTTGCACATATACTAATTTATACTTATATACAAAGGAGGGTAATTGTACAAATTGCTTTATCTAACCAGAATTTTAACAAAACTGCATTATTATTCACCAGAACTCATGTAACACAGTTGCTGGTAAGATATTCTGAATACATACATCCATTTGCTCCACCCACACTGAAAAAGTGAGCAGTGGATACCCATGAAGCACATATATACATTTACTGAAAACATACCATTGTTGTAACTGAAGTACTCGTCACTGATTCAACAGAATTAAATCTGTTGTACAGGGCCACTTCTTTATTTGTGAAATCTCTGGAAAAAAAAAAATCTTATTACTACATTTTTTAAAAATTTCTAGTCATAACAAGGGAGATGACTAAAAAATGAAAACACATTATCTCCCCTTTTCTTACTCTCAATTGCAACTTTGTAAATTTTTGCCGGTAATTAATATATAGTCAAGAATTTTACAAATCACTCTCATCATTGACAAGACATTGTTAAAATACGTAGCAATGATACACTGAAGAGAGACGTGAATTCATGCCTTCCCAAAGACATAAATAAAATATCAAGATAAACAAAATTTAAATTTGGCTTGCCAATTTCTTTTATTAATAGTTTATTCATAAAATTGTTCAAACCAGTTTTATATAAAATGATAAATTTATACAAATAAAACGATGAAAACAGCAACAGTGTCTTCTATTAGATGATGACACTGGCATGGTTTCTGGACCAAAGTACCATTACTATTATAATCCATGTCTATTCCAAAACTTTACTGAGTTTCTGTCATAATGTAGAAATGCTAGATCCAAGCAGATGCAGTCACTACCTAATGTTGGAGCCCCTTAATATATTTACTTTTTTTTTTTCTTTTTTTTTTAGTTATAATACAATTTTAGGTAGGTATGTCAATGTAGTAGTGGTTACAAAATTACAACATCTAACTTCAATTGGAATCTCACATAACTTCACATTTTTTCAGTTTCCATTCATATGCCAAGTCAATATTTTCCTTAAATGATGTAAACACTTTTTCTAATTACCTGACCAGATCACAAGTACATTGTGTGGTTAATATGATTGTTAGCTGGAAACAAGACAATACTCCAAGCCTTTTCAGCCATCAAACAATGATGATATATTAGTTACACTCTAAAATATCCTTGAGAAAATTTTTTTTCTTCATTTGGTTTAGTCAATCATTCATGATGCAGTATATATCATATCATAGTCTGAAGACATCAAAGAATATAGCAGATTCCATCAACAACAAACAAAGTTTGGCTGTAACATTTAATAAACAGTGATTGTTATAGGAAAATCAATGAAAGTAAAATAAAAAATGCATAAGGGTTAGTTTCAGGTTAATAAAGAGAAGCTAAAATGATTGTTGAAGGCAGAGTGCTAAAAATCATACTACAGTAAAGGCAAGCTAAAAATGAGGAAGAGAATATTTATGTTGACTAGAGTAGTCTAATAGTTTGCAAGTTTAATGAATTGCATCTAAATTGGCAGAAAATGTCAGAAAGGTTAATGATGAGGTGAAAAATCTTAAATTAAAATCTGAATTTATCTTAAATTAGAAAATTAACAAATTTAGAGGTAAGAAGAAGAGGCAAATAATTCAGTTAATACACAAGTTGGAAATAAAAATGAAACTCCAAAAGCTTGAATGGAAAAACTTACTTAAGTGGCCTTACAATCATTATATCTTCATTTCTGGCATCAGAAAATCCCTACAAAAAGAAAAAAAACAGGAATAGTGTATATACTTCTGCAATTTTATTCTTTGAGAAAAATTATTTTAAAGTAAAAGAGTTTTTCAAAATAAAACAGTTTCATGGATTATAGCAATTTTATTTGATTTAAGAATTATATATTTTTTTCTCTCTTTTCACACAGATAAGCTGATGTTTGGTCAGATTTGGGAAGTCAAGCCAAGCCCTTTCCAGCACCTTCTCTTGAGAGAGAGTGTGTGTGTGTGTGTGTGTGTGTGTGTGTGTGTGTGTGTTCGTTCCATGGTTTTAATCCGACCTGAATCATATTTCTTGATGCTGATAAAGTTATAGTTTTGATTAGCTAAATAAAAAGGAAAGGCATCCCCATCTGTCTTATCAAGATTGTTATTTGTTTTAGTCTAGCACAATAGTGAGTTATTCAATGAGAATAAAACTCACAATACAAAAAAAAAACAATCTGTAATTTATGTTTGATAATTATTATTCTGCAGTATGTGCCCAAATATTTAATAAACTCAACTTATTTTAGCAGAAGGCTACTGCAGTAGGGCACTCAATCAAAAATGAACACACTACACTTGCAATGAATTGACTAATTGTCTAACCATTGCTCTATGGTAGATGTCCTATTTGTCCATGAGAATATTTCATGAAGACTTACTTATGCAAATGTTTTATACTAATTCACATTTATTGTGACATGCACCGGTGGTCGCGGTCGCAGTCCAGCGCCAATATATGACGTCCACTGGTCGTGACGTCAATATATGACACTACGTTGTTGGCCCATGGTCAATTCCCAGTTGCGGTGTGAAGCTGTAAGGTTTCTTCCACCAGCGTTTGGGGTTGACTCATCGCTGCCACCAGCCTGTGTCCAGGTCGATCTGGTCATTCCCACTTCGATACCAACTTGTCATTCTAACCCTCCAACACTTGGTCATTGAAGTAACGGCTTTGATCTCAAGTCTAACCTACCCACATTGTGACTTTGATCTTAGGTAGATGAAATCAATCAGGCATCGGGGTGTAGTGCAAGCTGAATCCGGGGTAAAGGTGATACCGCACAAGTGTAAGTAAAAAAAAATAACAAAACAACTCGAGGTTCGAATATGTTGAGAATTAACAATTATCTTTATCTAACTGTTGAATACAGGAGTGTGTTTCCTTCCCAGCCCTTTTCTATGGATTCATGACACTTTTTGCGTTTCTTTATATATTATGATATCTTAAGTCGTTCGTCAATAAAAACTTGCTTTTGGTAGGAAGACTAAGTCAAAAAGGACATGGAAATCTTTCAGTCAGCTTCTGTGAGGCAACACTCTCCAACTAACTCCAAACTCTGCGAAAAACTGTATAGCTGCTTCGAGATGTTCATTTATATGGACACTGACCAACTCTGGTGTGGGGGCCTGTCGTGGTTTGGGTTTCTTGACAATTCTCAATTCCCAACAAGAATTCTCTTCGTTCTTAGGCCAGGAAAATTAATTACTTCCCATTTTTGGAAGATTAATCACTTTCCACTTCAGGGTTCCTCCCTCATAAGTGAGGGAAGGTCGGAGGAGAGTTATCCTCCTAGACTCTTCCTCTCTCACATTGGTATCTCATATCAATCTCCTCAGTGGGTGTTAACAACTTCTCCACCTTTCTCATACATTCACCTCCACCTATCACCCATGCTACCAGTTGGCCAATGATCTCTCGGCAGTGTGGGTGTGGCTAGACCGGCCATCTTAGAATTATCATAAAGAATTTTGTTTACAAAATCCTTTTTTTTCTTTTCCTTTGGCCAAAACATTTACAAATCCCAGATTGCCAAATTCTTATCACATCTTGATTTTGGGGACACTCAGATCCACTTAGTCAACTTTTAACTGGGTGGTCGTGTTTACCTGATAATTAAATTCTTTTATTTTTCTCATGCCTTAAAATTCTCTTATCACCAGATGCTCATTTTCGAGACGCTATGTTTGACATCAACAGTTTGAATAAGCAATAATAATGATCCCCTTTTTGACTCTTTTTCTTGTCAATATTCGTACATATACCAGATGGGTCTCTTCGCTGGACCCAAGAACCAAAATTAAATGATATCTCTGAAAGATAACTAATAGCTATTCTACAGGGTGGTCCCAAGCCAAATTTTTTTTCCATGGCCGCATGCACCGGCTGGCTTTGTTTTTCTATCTGAATTCTGTTTACATTGGCGCGTCACTCCCTTACCATGACATTAATTAATCTTGAAAGAATCGCAGCCTTGCCTTTTTCTTACAGATTTTCTGTCTTTTGCGAAAAGTATCTTTCTTTTGTAAATAAAATAAATTCTTTTTAATGTCGCTCAGTCTATCTTTCGATATAGCTCTTTCTCGCCTTAAGTATTTCCTGTTTTTAATTTCTATGGTTAATTAGTTAGCCAATTACCATAGCTAAATAGTGTCACAATTCAAATAAATGGTTTCGCTGACAAGAATGTTAAAAAAAAAACATTTTTTAAAATGGAATTAGATGAAAGCTTTTCATCCTGAAAGAGATGGAGTTATTTTTCCAGACTTACTTTGGAGAGAAAAGTAATGCCTGGTCATTATTAATTTTTAATTAGTGTTTCCTTTGTCTTAATTTTGATTGATTTTCCTTGCAACTACTCAGATTATCAGCCTAGAGACATTATATTTATTATATACTGAATTTCTATTAGATGATTCTTTCATTTTAATTTTATTTTATTTTTTTGTAACTACTCTCATTATTAAACAGTGTGAATAATAAAATTTTAAATTCTCACTGTAGACAGTAATAAGCAACTAAAATTATAGTGTTATAGTTGATAGTGTGATGAAAAGTGTTTTCAGTATGAATTTTCTTTAAGTCAACAAAATTACTTCTGTCTAACCTCTTCCAAAACCAAATCTTTACCCCTAAAAATACTCCTGACTGTTTGGTGGTGTTATAATCCATTACAGTCTCTTGCAACCTGGTCATACCATCAAAGCAAAATCATATTGTCATTGGTTTGGAACTAATGCATCTAAAGCAACAAACATTTTGGCTAGCTGTAATGAATAGAGAGGGGTCTACCCTATTGTAAGATAACATAAGACTTGATACTTCCCAAACATTAAAACAAAAACTACTGCAATTAATCAGAGATCCTGCTGTACTACTATTCACTGGAGTTGTCTCCCAACCGATAACTTTTTTTCTGAGTCTTAGATATATACACAAGACAACAGAGGTGTATACCAAAACAGAGTAGCTTGAAAATGATCACCAGCAGTTTGCCAATTCACATGACTCCAGCTTTTTGCTGTACAAAAATAAATTTGTTGACAAAACATTGTATTGATTCTAATTTCTAATGGTGCTTTCTTAAGAAACCTTAAAATTTGATTCTTACCCATGGTAAGATATATGTAATTGAAATAAGTATAAGATTTATTTATTTTATTTCCTTAATACTTACTATATTATGCTTATTGCAAAAACAATTTTTTGTGTGAAAAATTCACTAGAAAGATAATGTATTGTTACCTTTAATTTTTATCACTGATTTTTCTTTCAAATAGTTTTTTCCTTTGATTCTGTTTTTACACAAAATGACATTATTTGACACATAAAGGTTAATTCAAAATTTTTCTGATATTGTTATTCATAAAATATATTGATGATAAAATTTAATTTTGTGTGTAATTTGTTTTTCTTTCTAAATGATATTTTTAAAAAATGTATGTCAAATTTTAGTTTAAATTACCATTAAAAAACATAAAATTGATATACAAATGTAAAATTTTATTTTCAATATATCTAAAAACCTTTAATTCAGACAGAGATCCTGAAAAAAATGGTACCAAATTCATCTTAGTACCTCAATTAGCAACAAAGCTATGATCATCCAGATATTATATATAACTGTCAGCTCAAATTTTAAAGTAAATAAATAATTGCTTTATACATTTTTAAAATACATCACAAAAGAAAATGGGAAAAAGATTTAAACTGTAATATCCATCAATAAAACAAATTAAATTTAAAATGAAATTCAGCTGATGATATTCATTTACTCAGCAATACAAGATTTGGTGCATCAGACCCAACCCAGATCAAAGAACCAGTACTGAAAGTATTGAAACTTTCATAGACTTTTGTATATTGTATGTGAAAATTAAGGTTTCTGTTTAACAGAATTTCAAGATTATGTGGATCATATCTTTTGCCAGAAACTTTTACTTCCTTTTTATCTTGTTTAATATTCATCATTGTCCACACCAAAAAGACATATTTTCATTTATTTAAATTCCAACACATTATTGCCAAGTATGGGTCAAAATGGCATTAAAAATATTTTTAAAAAGAGTTAACTTTTTCCAAAAAGTTCTGAAATTCAAATACTTTGAAAAAGGCCTCCAGTTCAATTGTATTATGACATATTGAACACCATGGTTATGTTCATATTATTTTTTTAATTTCTAACTCATGCTATAGACAGAACAGTTGCAATAAAAAACATCTAAAATTAAGAAATCTTATCAAGAATTAACAATAGTTGACTACGCTTCATTTAATAGAAAAAAAATAATGCTTTTAAAGTTCATTATTTTTCCAAATTCTGTGAAAATCTCAAAAACACAAAATTTGACTAGAAATTGAGTAAACTGAGAATTAATCAAATTGACAAATCAAATAGATTAATAAATTTGATGACCAAATTAGTGAATTTTTATTTATAGAGAATTAAAAAAAAAATAAAAAATAAATAAACATGAAGTTACAGAAAATATGACAATTATAAATCAGTTATGACTTTATTTAAAAATTTATAAATAAAATTATATTTCATAACCTTGTACCTCAACATAGATACTACAATCTGTTCCTAGGCATAAATAATTTCTGACAAGTACTAGGCTCATAGAAAGGTGAAAATAAATTAATGAAAAGAACTTCCTTGTTTAGCTCAAGCTTTCAATAACTGGCATCCATCTATAATACAATGGACACATTGT